GGTACACCCCCCTGGATCTGCCCCTGGAGACTTTGAGTTGGGTCAGGTGGGGCATTTCAGCCTCTGAAATTCTTCAATTGAAAAACAATCAACACTGAACACAATCATCTATGAAGACACTAAGTTTCTTTTTGTTTGTGGTTTGAAATAAAATATGTAGCATTATAGTGTTCGTTCAATTTCAGCTGCAAATTTACTGGTAAGTTTTCAGAAAGCCTAAAATATGTGTCCATGATTCTTTATTTAACACTGCCATTGGAAAACCTTTTATATGAACAAATGTGTCCCTGCAGTGTTTGCAACCTAAACATTACATCGATGTACAGTGCTGAATGAGAAACTGAAAACTAAAATGACTTGAAACTAGCTAAGGGGAAAGGAAGAAAAAAGGTCTTGCTTTGTTGCTGAAGTTGAAAGAAGTTTATTAGACTGTAGCAACTGATCAGAGAGAAGGAATTCCATTATTTAACAGTTCTTTCTTTTTTAACAATTAAAATTTTTTAAGCCAGTTACCTTTGTTTTTTGCTTGAGAACATCCTTTTTACGTTATATTACCTTAAAATGATAGGTCATTGTTTATATTTTGTTGAAGCAGTACATTTTCCCTTTTTCTTGTTCCTCTTTTGCTTCCTAAAGTGAAATCATGAAAACATATTTGGGGAGCAGAATCCTGTTAAACAGATGTTGAGAACAGAGCACTGCATTTATGGCACTGTTAGTTTCTCTGCAATCACCAGCATCAAAGGGTTAATTACTTGCAGGCATTTTTCTTTTGCAAACAGCAACTTTAATCAATATCTGCTTAAAGCATTGAACTTATTTTCTCCTAAGTAAGCAAGTTTTACAAAAGAAAGAGATAAGAAGTCCAGGACTATTTTTTTTTTTTTTAATTAAAGAATACAAATCTGTACTGGAAGAGGTAATTTAGTTGTTTGAAACTGTTAAACAAGTAACTCTGCCTAGCTAGAGGACTAGCTGGAGTGCAAGTGGAGAACCTCAAAGGTCAAATTCCCAGTGAAATGTTGGTGAAACACTGCCAGGGCAGAATTTGGGGCGAGGGTGAAATGCTACCAGGGCAAAATTGTGATGTTTTCTTCCCATGTTGCCAACTGTCAGTGGTTGCACAAGATTCCAGGCAGCCGAGAGCTCAGAGACTATGTGAGTTTTGAATAAGTTCTACTTGTGCTACTCAGGTCAACTTTGAATTCAGCACATCTAGGCATTGACTAGTTCTCAGATTTCTTCCCCTTCCTTCCCTCCTCCTTTAGACTGTCATTAAAGTAACACAAGAGATCCTTCAGATGTTGGTTGACATCCGGTATTGAAGAATGGACTTTGCTAGGCATTATATTCATCAGTATATCCATAACAGTCTTTTTAAGAATGATCATCTTGACAGGCATCACACAGCACATTTCTAGTCTCCAATGCCAGAGTATCGTTTGGCTTTCTCCTTTTCCATCAGTCCATTTTTGATGAGTTGTGCTTTAGGAGCTACTAGTGTGTAAATCACTTACCTCGATGTTTGACAGCAAATCAGGATATGTGGCTCTTGATGACAGCACTGCAGTCAGAAAGGTCAGTGTTCAGCAAAACCTTCTTGTAAATTAATGTAGCTTGCATTTACTTGATGGTTCAAGTGGAGACCCCTGTGGGTCAAATGCAACTTCTAAATTGTTCACACTGAAGGAGTGTCCTTTTCTTGCAACCAGTAAATACAGTATTTAGTACTTAAAAGATCATCAGTGGTCCCTCTGGTTTGGCTGTATTTTATGTCCAGAGAATCCAGAATATGCAATTAATTTTATTTTGTAGGGATTTTTTTGCTTTTCCTAATGCTTTTCTTGAGAGTGTGTTTTTCCCCACCACCTATAAGAGTTGACCATAATGATTTCATTTTTCCTTTACAGATGTTTTTTATCAGTGTGACAAAGTGAGTGCTTGGCCACATAAACTGATTAGTAAAGCTGTGAGATCAACCCAGACTTCGTAGTTTCATACTCTTCTTTCCATTGGGTTAAGACAGTGAGTGCCATTACTTTTGAAGAAATATAGTAATTTCCCCAAATAATGTCCTAATCTTTATAAGAATGGGTTTGCCTATATCAGCCAGTGCATGATGCATCAGATCCAACAGTGCATCTTCATTGAGCATTTGAGTTGATGCATGCTGAACTGGAGTCTAAAGGGTATTCTGCTTATGGAATTAGGCAAGCGTAACAGAGGGGTCTATCATCATTAAAGGAGAGATTGTGCCTGTTTTGTTCAGCTGAGAGGGAAGCTCGGAGAGGCATGATGCCACAACTCCATTGCCCTTCTGATCTCTTCAGGAGCAAGACTAGAAACAGTCCTGGCAGTATGGTGAAGGTGCAGTATCTCATGGATTATCAATGCGCGTGATATTGGGCCATATTCAGGAATGGTGTAAACAGTAATTTATTTTGAATCCCTTATCTTGGAATCTGGTCCAAGAGCTTAAGGACACTAGATAATTGGGAATTACATTTTTTTAAATAATGGGATGTAGCATTTATTTCTAGTCCTGGCAGATAGAAGATTCTAGGAACCACATTTTGTTTTACGTATTAGATGCCAAAGTGTGATCCTATTTTTCCTGGCTTGAGTCCATGGCAAACGCATTAATGCCCCCACTTCTGTAGCAAACCATCCCCCTTGTTTTAAGATTAAGTGGATAAAAAGCAGCGAAGAGGAGGCGGCCCATCCGCTCTTTGTGTTAACTTTTTTGGGGGGAGAGGGTTGAGTGGGGGAACATGAGAAGAATGGAATAGGATTGCAGTTATGTGCCCAAAAGGTGAAATAGGATCTGTCCCTATATCTTAAAATCCCAACTTTATGATTTTATTGAAAATGTATTTTGTACCTTATACCATTAATACTATTTGAATCAGTGGTCTTTCTTTGTCCATGGCATATACATTTGCATCCTCTGGTACTGAAACAATATAGAACTGTGGATCAGGGAATGAGAAAATACATGCTAACAAAGATCTGTGATGATGTGGTTTAGCCAATACATTTCATTACTACTACTTCCTTATTTGGAATGTGGAGTATAATTTGTTTGTGTATATAATATATACACAAATACATTTATATTATAAATTTATTTGTATATCATTTCCAAAATTTGTCCCAAATGTTTTTACTGCACCGTAACACTCTCTTTCCATAATATGACAATTTATAAAATTTATCAGAGTCTCTTGTTCAAGGCCTTACTAGCTCTCCCCTGTATTCATTTGTAGTTGACTTATTTTATTTTGTGTAATTTTATTTTAAATACCTGTAGTACAGATGCTTCAGACTTTTAAAACTTGTGACTGAGGCCTCTTGTGATTGAGACCAGTGGCCTGGTCTTAAAAATGCAGACATAAGTAATAGTCAGTTAACGTTAGTTTGAGGTGTACTGATTACTGTCTGAAGTACAAGTGGAATGCATATTAATTCTTCATAAGAACATAAGAACTACCATTTACTGGGTCAGACCATAGGTCCATCTTGCCCAATATTGTGTGTTACACAGTGGCAGAAGGTAGGTACTGAAAGGGAGAGTGAACAGAATTTGACCAGGGTTTTCCCCATATTTCTCTCACTTGCAGCCTCCAGCATTTAAAGTATAGGAAGTTCTGATTCAGATCTGCTTAATTCTGTTAAGACCTATATATTAAAATATTCAAGAACCTTGGTTCTGTTTGGAAAATAAGTGTAAAGTGTCATGAATGACCATTATGGCTAGTGGCGGGTCAGAAAAACTCTCTGAGAGCCATCAAGAAAGCGAGTCCATAACTTGACCAGTATGTCCACATGTAACTCACTTGACCGTCTACTGACCTTGGGCTTTTAGTCATCTCAGCTATGGAGCTGAATAAAAGCTTTGGAAAACAAATGCTACAGTTGAGTGAATTACAGAGGGAGGGGGCTAGGGGAGAATAACAGCTTGGACTAAAGTATAGTAGAAGCAAACACATTTTATTGGAAGAAATGATACATTCTTACAGAGAGCTTGGGTCTAAACAATGCAGGGTTTGATTTAGTTGATGAGCAAGGATAGTAGCACTGAACAAAGGATAGATTGTCTTGCCTAAGGTTCAAAAGTATGCCCACATTTCAATGGCATGCAACAAGTTTTTTGTATAGTTTTTTGGCTTCTCTTGGGTAAGAACAAAAATTGGCAAAAACAGAGAGGACTGCTCAGAAAAGCATAACCTATTCTGATTAGGGACTTTGGAGGGAATTATAATTAAATGAGGTTTGTGAAAGCCACAAAGTCTTATAGATCTGTAAAAGACTACAATTCCTTAAATGTTAACAGTTTTAAGTGGAACTGATATTCAGGACAACAACCTGGTGGTGTGATTTAACTTTCTAGAGGTGTTTTAAAATTTTTTCCTGCCACTTGGCTTACTCGATCCACCCATCCTCCAACATGAGTATAATATGGTAGCTAGTTGGAAATGTTATTGAGAGGAAAGTCCTCACACACATGTTCTCATTTTGCTACACTTCCTTACAAGGGCATAGCATGAGTACTTGTGGGACTGAGCTAAAGCTGAATCAGCAAGGCATTAGGTGGCATTATGGCAGGGGGTTAAAAGTAAGGTATATGGTCGTTTGTGTTTTGATTGCTGGTTCAAAACTTCGCTTGGTTTGGAATCAGTGACTCCAAGCTTATACAAGTTTAATGCCTGCATAAATGAATTAGAAGCTTTTAGGCCACTTCTCTGCAGAAGGTCCGCACCAGGTGCAGGTACTGATTAAACCCACGTTAGCCCTATTCTGAAAGAAGAAATGGAACACAAGTGCTAAGTGCTAACTCCCTGCACAGGGATACCATACTATCCTTACTGAACAGTGAATAATCATTAATTATGAGTACTTAGGCTGGTCCTTATCCTTGCAGTCGTGGTGTAACTTTTTGATATGAACAAAACATCTTTTTAATTTGTTACTGACCTTTCTTTTTTTCTCTCACTTTGTAGGTCTCAGACTCTGGATATTTACTGTGCTTTTTTTATTTTATTTTATTTTATTTTATTTTTATTTTTGGCTGGCTTTTTTCCTTCCCCTTTCCTTTGGATGTGAATTGAAGACCTGCTGAAGGACTGCTGAAAGAGGGAACAGGAAGACGCTTATTTTTGTTTTACTGGGAAGCACTCATTGCCAGGTTATCTTTACTTTCTCCCTCCACAGTCATGTGGTCATCACAGTTGCTGTTCTTCACAATACTCTTAGCACCGATAGCCCATGGTAAGTGAAGTATGGAAGGAGTTTGATGTGGGTTTGCCAATTATTATTGCTATTATTATTATAACTACAGTAAAAGCCCTCTTATCTGGCATTTTATTAACCGGCATTTCACTGAATGGGGGG